TGTCACGGAAAGAAGTCACTGTCACATCCACGGCCACCGAGCTTCGTCCCTGCGCTTTCTTCCTAAAGCTTCACAGTTCTAGGTCTTAACATTTGTAGGCTTTTCAAATCTATCTTGAGCTAATTTTTGTATATGGTACAAGGTAAGGGTTCAACTTCACTCTTTTTACATGTAAATATCCAGTTTTCCCAAAACGGTTGTTTTAAAAAGTGTCCTTTTTCCCATTGAATGGTCTCAGCAGCCTTGTCAAAACTCCTTCACCCTCTCCTCAGACTTGCACACCGATCTCAGCGTCCCATTCCTCAGTGAGCCCGGTGGTGACTCACTATCTCCCGTGTTCTTCCACATTGTTTAATTAATTAGAATTGTACAGCAGAGTTGCCCCTTCTTCACATTTATTTAATCCATCAGTTGCTCATATCCCTATGGGTTCATGAATAGAATATTTATGTTGTTCTGTGAGTGAGAGCCCAACACTATCATCATTTATTTGTTGCTCAAATCAATCCAGCTTTGGCATTAGGAACGCTTGCAGGCTGGCTCTGGGGTCTTTCAGTAAACCTGCATCTTCACTTTCTGTCTATCATCCGTCTTGTCTGTTTTAGCATTTCCTTGCTTTCTGGCATTGCAAGGATATTCCAGGCTGAGCCTGTATTTTCCCCTCCTTGGCCCAACAATCCACGCACGACCTCTCCTTGGAGCCTTTGCTCCTTCTGCATTGCTCCAATGAGCTCTGAGCAGATGGATCTAGAAGTATATGCATGTGTTTGCTAACTTTTCACACACACGCATGTATTTCTGTAGCTATCAGTACTTATAACTAAACACCATGAGTGTGCATTGATACTTCAGATTTCAGTCTAACACCACAGGCTTCATTTTCGTGTTTCCCATTTCTTATTTGTAATTTCTTTCTCCAAAAATTACTATCTATATCTACCTATGCATTTGATTCTAGTTCTGCTTTCCACGGTTTCGGTTACCCGTGGCCAACCTTGGGTCTAAATATTAAATGGAAAATTCCAAAGATAAACAACTCTTAAGTTTTAAATTGTATGCTGATCTGAATGGGATGATGAAACCTTGTCCCAACCTGCTCCATCATGCTCGGACATGAGTCATCAATTTGTCTGGCGTACCCATGAAGAATATTGACCCTGATTCGTAATATGCCAGAGAGAAGCCCTGAGGTGCTTCTGCAGGTGAACAGAGTATACAGAGTTCGATACTCCCTGCTGCTGCAGGCATCGTGGAGAAGGGAGAATGTCGGAACATATTCTCCATGAGTAAGGGCAGTATGTACATTTTTTCTGAACTGCTAATCCACAGTCCTGTGAGAAACGCATTTAGTGGCTAGATTACAGAATGTATGTAGTTCTTTTTGTCTTTAGCTCTAGACAATACAGTCAATACAGTCATATGCCACATGATGACATTTCAATGACAAGCCACGTGTATGACGATGGTCCCATAAGATTATAATGAGCTGACAAATTGCTATTGCCTAGTGACCTCACAGCCATTACAACATCGATGTGTCTGTCACTCACGTGTTTTTGGTGATACTGGTGTAAACAACCCTCTACTGCCAGTCATCTAAAAACGTAGAAATTTAAAAAAAAAAAAAAAGCCCGGTTGGTGTGGCTCAGTGGTTCAGAGTCAACCCTGCACCAGGAGGTCGCCAATTCGATTCCCAGTCAGGGCCCATGCCCAGGTTGTGGGCCCGATCCCCAGTGGGGGGCATGCAGGAGGCGGCCAATCGATGTTCTCTCTCATTGAGAGAGAGAGAGAGAGAGAGAGAGAGAGAGAAGGGAGGAAGGGAGGGAGGGAGAAAAGAAACATCAATATCCACCTTACAGGTTTTGAGTACAGAGATAAACCATGTCTAGAGGGTACTCAGAGACAATTGGGGACTTGAAGGCTCTAAGCAGCTAGAACCCGCCCCCCAAAAAAGTATAGCATAGACAACACTGTATAGTACATAATACTTGACAATGATAACAACGACCGTGTTACTGGTTTATGTATTTATTATGCTGTACTGTTATAACTATTGTATTTATTTATTTTTATTCCTCACCTGAGGAAACTTTTTTCTACTTTTCATCAGATAGAGCCGGAGGGAGAGAGAAACATCCTTGTGATGGAGCCACATTGACTGGCTGCCACCCACACGCCCCGACCAGGGCCGGGGACAAGCTGCAACCGTGTCCTTGGCCGGAATCAAACCCGCGACTCTGGTCCGCGGGCCGACGCTCTAACTGCTGAACAACACTGGCCAGGGCTATTATTATTTTAGGGCGCACTCTTTCTCCTTGTGGAGAGGTCAGCTGTGAGCCCCGCGACCCCGGCAGCAGGCTGGGACCTCGCGCGTGTGGTCCTCGGTGGCATCGTGTTCCTGCTTCACCGAATCTCGGGCGTGTGGCTCAGAACAAGCCGTGCGGACTGTGCCCAGGAGCTGCAGGGGCAGCAGCCGTGTGCGGCGGGCTGTGCCATCGGGGGGCAGGTGCAGTCTGAGGTCCACACAACGATGACCTGGCCTAACGCCGCACCTCTCACGCCGACCCCGTCAGCGACAGGCATGTGACGACGCTGTTCGCCAAAGCTATTCAGACGTTCACTCCCCTCTGCCAGATGCTTTCGGTGCGTGGTCTATCGGGGTAAGTGACACATTGCTATAGTTCTCAAGTCAGAACGACGCAAAAACAAACAAAAAAACAAAGGGCCAATAAGCTCATGAAAAAAATGTTTTTATTGCTTCTTTAGAGAGAGGAAGGGAGAAGGAGAGAGAGAGAGAGAGAAATATCGGCCCATCGGCTGCCTCCTGCACGCCCCCTACTGAGAATCGAGCTCACAACCCCAGCATGTGCCCGGAACAGGAATCGAACCAGGACCTCTCAGTCCATGGGATGACGCTCAATCCACTGGGCCACATTGGCTGGGCTCCACTGATTTTTAGATAGAGTGGAGGGGAGGGAGGGGGAGAGAGAGAGGAACATCGATGTGAGGAAGACAGATTGATTGGTTGCCTTCTGCACGAGGCCAACCAGGACCAGGGATCGAATCTGGAACCCAGGTACATGCCCTTGACCAGGAATCAAACCCACAACCCTTCGGTCTGCGGGCCGACACTCAAACCGCTGAGCCAAAGCAGCCAGGGTTGTAGTTATTTCTGTTAAGGAGGACTTCCCTGGTGTCCGAACAGCCTCGAGTACCTGACCCTAGCCATCGCATACCCCACGGCCACAGGAGAAAGGACAGCTGTTCCAGGGCGATGCTCATGAAAACGGCGCAGGTTAGGCTGTCTCCGCAGATGTTGGATGTTAGCGATAACTGCATTTTTTAGTCATCTGTTAGCACTAAGCAAAACTGTTTTGCAAACAGTTTGCACTCTTATGATGAGACTGAGAAACTCTGTCCAACATATTTTAGTTTTGCTTGTAAACTGTGAAGCATTCCCAAACTATTTTAGAGGAATTGATACTGCTGGCAAAAGAAAATGTGCAGTTACACATTTGCTTGTTACAGTTTCTTCTCTGTATAACCTTATTTTAGAGAGAGCTGATGGAAAGCATTATGGGATTCGAGATTTTACAGCTGTGTTTGCTGTGTGAGCTTAGGGTTTCCATTCTGGAGCGAGTTGTTTTTGGTGTTCTGAACAGCAGAGCCTGCCGGGTTGGGCAGAGAGAGACAGAGACAGACAGAGAGACAGGGACAGAGAGATAGAGAGAGACAGAAAGAGAGACAGACAGAGAGACAGAGAGACACAGAGAGAGACAGACAGAGAGACAGAGAGAGAGACAGACAGAGAGACAGGGACAGAGAGATAGAGAGAGACAGAAAGAGAGACAGACAGACAGAGAGACACAGAGAGAGACAGACAGAGAGACACAGAGAGAGACAGACAGAGACAGAGACAGAGACAGAGAGAGAGATAGAGAGACAGACAGAGAGAGAGATAGAGAGAGACACAGAGAGAGACAGACAGAGACACAGAGAGAGACAGACAGAGAGAGAGAAAGAATGAACATGAAAATGATTACTGAGCATGAATTAAATTCTAACATGCAGTGTTTTTGTTGTTGTTTTTAATCCTTACCCGAGGATACTTTTCTATTGATCTTCAGATAGAGTGAGAGGAGGGAGAGAGAGAGAGAAACATCTGTGTCAGAGACACACATTGATTGGTTGTCTCCCACAGAACTCCAACCACTGCCAGGGACGAACCACAGCCGAAGTACGTGTCCTTGACCGGAATCGAACCTGCGACTCTTTGGTCCGCAGGCCGATGCTCCAACCACTGAGCCAAACCAGCCAGGGCCATGTGCAGTGTTTTAAAAGGACACGTAACAGAGCGTTAGTGTGTGGTGTGCGCAGGAGGACGGAAAACAGAAATACCAGAATTCTCGGATAAGGTGGCAGACAGCAGGACTGAGCGGAATAGGGACTCACGTGACTCAGGGATAAAGTAGAAGAATAAAGAGAAAACAAGCCCATGTAGAAATGAAGACTAGACACAAGGAGCCACCGTAGGTGCCCATAGAACAGAAGTGGGGGGGGGAAGGAATCATATTAGAGATACCTAGTATTTGGGAAACAATGCAGACGCGGAGACTGGGCTGAAGGAACTTCCTGCCCACAGTTGAGATTCCCAAAAAAGAAAGCCAAACAATGGAATAGATCAAATATTTTAAAATACAGTTAGGAAATGTTCCTGAGGCCTGGCCGGTGTGGCTCAGTGGACTGAGCGTCATCCTCCGGACTGAGAGGTCCTGGTTCGATTCCCAATCGAAGCACATGCCCAGGTTTCGGGCTCCATCTCCAGTAGGGGGCGTGCGGGAGGCAGCCAGTCGATGTGTCTCCCTCACATCCATGTTTCTCACTCTCTGTCCCTTCCTTTCTCTCTAAAACATCAGTAAACATATATTCAAAAGGAAAAGAAATGTTCCTGAGCCCCGCTAGGTCACAGACCGTGTCAGAGCCAAGCCGGGCTCACCAGGATGGTCACAGATGTGAAGCTCACCATCTGTGCCAACATGCTGGGCATGTCGCGCCTCCTGCTGGTCATTCTGCGTCACTATGTGGCCGTCACCAATCCCAAGAAGCAGGAACAAAGGTGGTGCTTTCTCTGCTGCAGGGCATCAGGACGTGGTCTGAGGCAATGGAAGGTGTGAGGGGCTCTCACATGTCCCTGCGTCCTTCTACCCATCACAACACACACCTGAGTTCTTCCAGACAACTTCGACTTCCTCAGAGCCGTCCTTACCTCTGTGGAACTAGAAACTGCCCTGAGTAGGGCCCAGTATGGGGGCTGCTTTCTTTTCCACTCTCCCCTCCCAATATAAAAACATAGACTTTCGTTGTGGTCCCCCACCAAACAGGAGTGTTCCTGAAATGCAAGAAACCTAGAATCAACACCGAAAGGGCAAATTGCGTACTAGGCAACACTAAGCCAGAACAATCATCATGGAGACAAATTCTAGAAAAAAAAAAAATCATTGTACTTTTTTTTCTTTATTGATTTTAGAGAGAGAGGAAGGGAGAGGGAGAGAGAGACAGAAACATCAATGAGAGAGAACATCGATTGGCTGCCTCCTGCCTGTCCTCCCCCATCCTCCCCCCCAGGAATCGGGTCCACAACCTGGGCATGTGCCCCGACCAGGAATCGAACCAGTGACCTCTTGGTGCATGGGTTGATGCTCAACCACTGAGCCACACCAGCTGGACAAAAAAATCATTGTACTTAAAAGACGAGGTAAGATGGCCAGCGAGAAAGATCAAGGCACGTGTTAGAGATTCAGAGACTGCTCCACCTCTGTGCCACAGGGCAGTGCAGGGCACCTACAAGACACTCAAGGGAGATGGTGTGATCTGTACATTTCAGACCCAGCCAAGGACACATCATAAAGGCTATAGACCAACAAGACCACACACTTAGGTCCGGCCGGTGAGGCTCAGTGGTTGAGTGTTGACCAATGTACCAGGAGGTCACCGGTTCAATTCCCAGTTAGGACACATGCCCAGGTTGTGGGCCCGATCCCCAGTGGGGGGCATGCAGGAAGCAGCCAATTGATGTTCTCTCTCATCAATGTTTCTATCTCTCTCTTCCTCTCATTTCCTCTCTCTCAGAAATCAATAAAGGAAAAAAAATGTAAAAAAAAAAAAAAAAAAGACCACACATTTAAGAACTCAAAGTTCACACACGCCCTTCTTTTTTTTTATTTTAACCTTTATTAAAATGGAAACTTCCTTGCACAGAATAGAAAACAATGGACACTCGTGAATACTTTACAATAACCCAAGGCGCCCAGCTATAACAATTATCAACTCAACCCCAGCTGTCTTCTCAGTTTGTTGCGGAACTCATGGGGTTCGCTGCTTGGGCTGTTCTATTCAAGAACGAGACCTGGTTGTCGCAAGATCGTTTTACTTGCAGCAAGTAGAAGAGACAGAATTTACAGCCAAAGCTCTGTCTCCCGGAAGGGAGGCACAGTCATTGCTTATAGACACCATTTGGTCAATTATGTGTTGATTTCTTCTTTGCAGTTGACTACTGTTTATTGGGTTGGGTTCCTGTCTAGCACATCCTGTTTGTAGCTGGTTTTCAAAATACAGTGCTACATTTTAACATTTAGCAGAAATAACATTTAGACTGCCCAGACCTTGATATCTTTGTCCTCTCTAACAAGTTCATCTGTAAATACTCCATTCTTTTTTTTAAATATGTTTTTATTAATTTTTTAGACAGAGAGTGATAGAAACATCAATGTGAGAGAGAACCATCTATCGGCCGCCTCCTGCACGCCCCCTACTGGGGACCGAGCCTGACACCTGGGCCTGTGCCCTGACCAGGAGTGGAACCAGGGCCTCTCAGTCCATGGGAAGACAATTTACTGAGGCACCTGGTCGGGCAAATGCTCCATTCCTGGGGGAATTTCCAGGGGAGGAACTCCAGCCTTAGCAGAAAGCATCTCGTGAAAGGGAGGGAGAGCTTTCAACACTGCTGCAGAGCGGAGATAGAACGGGTGTGGCTCGGAGTAGAGGAGTGGAATGTCAATGCTGCGTGTTTTCGTAAAGTAGAAATGAGACAACTAACCAAAAATAAGAGAGCCAGAGAGAGGAGAGACGGTAGGAAGTAGAAAATGTTGCCCTTGTCTCTTCTCTCGCGTAATTTGATGGGAATCAGAGCTGAGAAGTCGAGTGGAACCAAAAGGTAATGCTAGTGACTGTGTTTTGCCAGCTGGGGACCTGGAATTTGGAGAATTGGGAATTATTTGGGGAATGGGGAATGAAAGGATTCGTCTTTGGAGACTTGACTGAGACCCACCAGCTGTAGTGGACACAGTGTTCCCCTCCTCAGTCGGGCTGGGCTCAAGCAGCTTCCTGAACCTCATGGAGGCGGGCCTAGTCTCCTGCAGGCTCTCATGGGCTCCCCTGGCGCCGTGCCCACACGGGGCACAAGACAAATCCGACCTGGCCCTGCTCCTCAGGACTCAGTCCTGGGACACCGGCAGAGGCACTTGCATGGTGCCATGCGGAGAGCTGCAAGGAGAGGGGGTAGTAGGAAAGAACTGCACTGGAGAGATGGTGCCACTGTGAACCTGACCACCCGTGAGCTCACTGTCACCCAGTAGGGGAGCCAAAGGAGTCATTCCTGCATCTATTTAGCAGAGGCCACCAGAACACCAGTCTGGGCAGGGCATGCACCCATCAGTAGAAGAGACCTGGTTGCAGCCCCTTGGACAATCATCACAGGGATGCCCCCAGGAAAGTGACTGATCAGTGTCTGTGGAAGGGAAGTAGTGACTGACAGCGTAGGAATCACACAGTGGCTCGGACAGGGAGGAACTGCACCGCCTCACCCAGCCTGTGGCAGCTGCCGGGCTGATTTAGGGACTGAGTAAAGGAAACCCAGGACCCAGGTTCTTTCTATATTTCTGCTCTGCCCTGATCAGCAGGTGGCTTTTCCTTAGGCTTGTTCCTCCTGTGGGTACAAGTGGCTGCCACAGTTTTAACCATCATTTCCAGGCACAAAAATGCACAGTGGAGCCAATTGATTGATGTCTCTTCTCCAACCCCCTCTAAAATCAATAAAAACACATCCTCCGGTGAGGATAAAAATAAAATAAAATAAAACAAGCACAGTGGAAAAGGAGGGACTGCTTCTTCCTGTCTTTTTGAGAATGAAAAGCCTTTCCTAGAAGTGCCTGGCCCTCAGAACAGGATGGAGACAAGCTGTTGGGCGAACTGGGATTTCTGCAGGGGTCACGCACACCAGGAAAGAGGCCAGGGCTCCTCCAGGCCAGCCCCGCCCACCTCCCAGTGTGGCCCCAGGCGGTCTCTTCCCACCACTGAGTCCGCTCCTGGAGATGCTGGGAGCGCCCCCTAGACGGCCCCTGGTGTCTCTTGAAGGACCTTCCCTTTGGGCAGGAGCGAGCAGCCTTGGCCCGTTTTGCAGACTAGAGGAAACATTCTTTGGGGACAGCAACAAGGAACCACGCAAGTAAGTGGGCCGGCCCTAGAGTGAGGGTGGGAGGTGCTGAGAGTGAGGAGAACCCCGATGGGCATTTGGGAGAGATCTCAGATTGGAGAAGGGACCAGCTCCCAGGGCAGAGCATCACACAGGGCGTGGCGGGAGGGGAGGTGGATAGGCGCGGGGAGCTACACTGCCCCTGCCGGCGGGCGGTGGAAGGCCTCCTCGGAGCCCGCCCCCTGCCGGCGGGCGGTGGAAGGCCCCCTCGGAGCCCGCCCCCTGCCGGCGGGCCGTGGAAGGGGTCCTCGGAGCCCGCCCCCTGCCGGCGGGCCGTGGAAGGCCTCCTCGGAGCCCGCGCCCTGCCGGCGGGCCGCGGAAGGGGTCCTCGGAGCCCGCCCCCTGCCGGCGGGCCGCGGAAGGCCTCCTCGGAGCCCGCACCCTGCCGGCGGGCCGTGGAAGGGGTCCTCGGAGCCCGCACCCTGCCGGCGGGCCGCGGAAGGCCTCCTCGGAGCCTGCGTGCCCAGGAAGGACGACGCGTTTCTCTGTCTCCCCAGAACTGGGAGAGCCGTGTCTTCAGTGAACTGAGCAGCGTGACCGCACACCTGCTCCAGAAGCAGAGAGGTCGTCTGGTGGAGAGAATAACGTCTGCAGAGGCGTGGAGGTGGGCAGGGGTGGGGCAGGGGGACGGGCACCGTCCGCCGAGGGGGGCAGATGGTTCGCATGAAAGCGGCTGCTGGAGCCCGGCCGGGGCCGCACCCCGTGGCAACTGTGAGTCACCAGCAGCCGGGCGTGCCGGCGCTGGTGTCACGCACGTGGACACGTGCTGGGGTGGGAAGGAACTGGGTTGGCACGAACTCTACACCCGGGGGACCTGACACGAAAATGCACGCCTCCGTCGGGGCCAGCGGCACCCGCGAGCTCGCACACGGGCACACGGGCACACGGGCCGGCGCGCTCCTCGCCGCGGGCACGGCCCCGCGCGCAGGCCGCTCGCAGGGAGTGTCGTGGGCGGGGCTCCCCGCGGCCACGCCCCAAGCCCTCCACCGGGCCGGGCGGGGTTTTCGGGGTCCTCGCCCTGCGGTGACTCACCGCCCACTGAGCCGGCACACAAACCCCCCACGGGACGGGCGTGGGGAGCGAGGGCGAAGCACGGGAGTCGCACGGTTGTTCCTGAGGCCCGGCTGGAGCAGCTCCGCCTGCGCCCAGAGCTGAGCCCGCGGGATGTGGGGACGGAGCCCTCCTGGGCGGGACCGCGTTCCCGGAGCGGGGAGCAGGGGCGGCCTCGGTCCGAGCCGGGAGGGCACGTCCCGGGATGGGCTCGAACTTCGCTGCTAGGGAGAACCTGGGTAGCTCAGCCGAAGGGAAAGGATCCCGGAGCACTGGGCGTGTCCCCGAGCGCGGACTGCGGGACCCTGGGCGGGGGCGGGGTTTCTGGACCTGGGGCCTCTGCTGGCGTCGAGGGGCCGGGCCCAGCGTGGCGAGGAGACAGGAAGTGGATACAGGATAGGAACATGTGCTTTAATGAGGCGGCAGGTGAAGGGGGCAGCAGCTGCCCCAGCCCAGGGCCCGCGGGGGAGTTGCCCATGGCGCCCTTTCTCACTTCATAATGCCTAATTTTTTCCCAAACCCTGAGAAAGCCTCAGAGGCTTGGTTAGCGGTCTTGTCCACGGTGTCCTGGGTGGATTTAGCCACCTGGTCCAAGGCTGGGGAAGGAAAGGAGAGGGCAGGTGAGGGAGGCGGGGAACCATAGCCATGCAGGGTCAGCCTGGCCGGGCTCCTTCCCGGGAAGCAGTGTGGATGGGCAGAGGGGCTGCGGAGGAGAGGGGTGCTGGGCCTGCCCACCTCCTGCCCCCCTGCCCCCCTGCCCTCACGCCCTCTAGCCCCAGCAGACCTTTCTGCCCCGCTTCTGTTGCCTGGTCCACCACTTGCTGAGCTGCTGCTCCGGCTGCGGTCACTGGAACAAAGAGATTTGGCCCCGAGCCTCTGTTGAGGCTCCATGGACCATGGGGGCCTCACCACTGCCACCACCCTCCACCTGTTCTCTGGGATAGTTTGTCCGACAAGCCCTAAGGACAGATGCCATCGCGGTAAATAAAGTCCCTTGACCAAGGCCACCCAGCCAGTGAGGGGCACGAGCACTTTTCATGCCTCTGGGGTGTTCTTGCTTGTTTATGACTCTGGGCTCCTCCCCTCTGGCTTGCTTCCCACTCCCATCCTGGGATGGCTGAGAAAATGTCTGACAGGGAGGGAGGCAGGGCTGGGCAGGGCTGGGCAGGGCTGGGCAGGGCTGGGCAGGGCGGGTGGGAGATGGCATCTGGGCTCTGGCTGCTGCTGCTGGGCATGACCCCCTTGAACACCCCCCCATGCCCGAATTCCCTTCAGTGCACCCTTAGTGCTCCTGCCCCGGGGCCTCTACTTCCCCACCACCTCCTCTGCTGTGCCTCGCGCAGAGGGCACGCGGTGATGGTGCCAATGCCTCCAGGGGCAGGGAGCTTAAGGCAAAGTGCAGAAAGGAGGTACAGCTTCCACGGTTAGGCCGCCCCCTCTGGACCAGAGCTCATGCCCGTGGGGAGCAGTGTTTCCAGGGCCTTGCTCGGGTGGCCGGCGGCCGGTTCCTGGCCTCCAGAGAGCTGACTTGTCCTTGTTTTTGAACGAGACCCACACCCTGGGGTCTTGTCCGACACAGCAGGGACCACGGAGAAAGAGCGTTGGCACCCAGCTTACAGATAAAGTGAGGGTCAGAAGGAGGGGTCCTGTGGATAGAGGCTTCCCGCTGGCATTTCAGACTTGGGAGCAACTTTGTGGGGTTTCCCTGAGGCACTGGTGAAGGAGGGGGCTGGTTTGGGTCTGTTTACTGACGTGTACAGGATGGATTGGGGGCCGCAGTCCCAAGGGAAGGTGAGCCCAGAGGCCCTTTCACATGCCCTTCTCCCCATTACCCCCGCCCCCCCCCCGCCCCCAACTGCATAACTTTGGGTTAGAGAGGGAAATGGCTGGAGGTGGAGACTAAGGGGGGGGGGCTGCCCTGCTGGTTCAGTGCGCTGTGCTGAATACTTAACAGAAAGGAAACAAACAGCTCAGTGAGACCTGCTGCCCATCCCGTCTCGTCTTGTGCGCTGAGGCCCGGTGGGCAGAAGTCCGTCTCAGGGTGACAGAGTCCGCACCCTTTGGGACCTTCACCCTCCCTAAGGACGCGGGTGGGCTGCTTCCCCCCGGGGCAGCCTCCGCAGATCGCCCAAAGTGTCACCCTGCTCCCAACCCCTCCCAAGGATCCTCTCCGGTCTGGGTCTGGTTGGGGTGGCGTCCTGGCAACGCCCCACTTCCTAGGGGAGGGTCCGCTGAGCTCGGGCCTCCTGCCAACTCGGGCGCGAAGACCCGGGTTTCGGCCCCACCCCTCCCGGAGCGGCCGCCGAGCGCCCCTGTAACGCCCGGCCTGGCGCCGTCCTCACCCGCCTCCTGGGCAGCCCCTTCCACTTGCTGCTTCAGGTCTTGCAGGCTCTTGCCGGCCATGGCTGACTGGGTCTGCGAGGTCGTCAGGGGCAGTGAGAACGATGATTGATCCTGCTCCCAGCAGGGACTGTGATTTTTAAAAGGAGCCGCGGGGCGGCCCCGCCCCGGTGGGAGGGTGCGGCTGGGGCGCGGGCGGGTCCCAGCAGGGGCTGGAGGAGGGACCGCGCCCTGCTGCAGGCGCGCTGGCGGGAGCGCATCCTGGCCCCGGGCAGCCTTCCCTGGGGAGGCAGCCCCCAGCCGGGTCGGAGCAGGGGCTGGGAACTGCCGAGGGACTGGGTCAGGGGTCCAGAGAGGGCATGGGGGCGGGAGGGGCCGCACACACCTCCTGCACCCTCAGGGCCTGCTCCCTCCCTCACCAACCCACAGGAACCCCCCGACCCGTGCGTGGGGCCAGTGCCAAGTCAGAATCTCAGGAAATTAATAGTAATGTCTTGCTGAGCACTTGCCGTGTGCCAGGCGCTTATGGGGCGCTTTCGAGTCTCCGGGATAATGTTCACAACGTGCGAAACGGGTGCTGCTGCCAGTTGTTAGGGAGAAACTGAGGCGCAGTGAAGAATGCTGCTGGGCCACCGGCCAGCCGCCACCAGGACGGGGGACAAGGGGTGGAGAGAGGCGGTAAGCCCCCCCCCGCCCCGCCCAGGGTGAGTCATTGGCGTGTGCCCGTGGGGAAGGTCGGCGGGCGCAGGAAGGGGGGCTGGAGACTTGCGCGCGAGTGGCGGATCAGGACCAGGCCTCGCGCACTAAGGCGAAGGTCCGGGCCTGCAGGCGCTCGCACCGCCCACTCCCGAGTCCGCTGGGGGCCTGGAGGCCACCGCTGCACGCCCCGCCCAGTGTCTCCGCGGGGCGTCGCCCCTCTCCAGTGCGGGTCTCTGACGCCTCCTCTCCGGGCCTGTCTGCACCTGTCAGAGGCGGCCCTGTACTGAGGCTCCCGGAAGCCCACCCACTCAGGTCCACTCCGCTAGCCCACGCCCCGCCTGGAATGGGGGCGGCACAGGGAGGGGGGCGGAGACACTGGCGGTAAACTGGAAGGGTCAGCACCGGGTGTGGGGGAGATGGAAGCACCTGCACGCGTGTGCACGCGCACACACACACACACGGGATGGATCGATGGAGACGAGGTTAACCTGGGTAAGAGGAAGGGGCAGGCACTGAGATCAGGTGGGGAGAAGGGACACCAGGTGGCTGGCTGCCGCCCCGCTGCTGTGGGCCTGGACCCAGGGCACAAAGGCACCATCCGAGCAGCCTAACGGGGGATGGGGGACTCTGGACATCCATCCTGGTCACTGCGCCAGGCCTGCCAGCCCTTCTGACCCCCACCAGGAACACCAGTCCCTTTAGCCTAGAAGCCAGTTAGCGCCTGGCTAGCTGCTGAGGCTGTTTGGCTGAGGCCGGCAGAGGGCCTGGCCCCCCTGGGAGAACAGAGACAGCTGTGGGTGGGAGCAGAGCAGCAGGCCCTGGAGTTAGACTCTGCTGCCCTGCCCCATGGCAGGTCCTTTCCTGTCTCAGCCTCAGCTCGCTGCCCTTGACGGTGGGGCGCAGTGGCACTGTAAGGGTTAAAAGGGCTGAAAGATGCCCCAAACTCAGCCAGAGCCCTTCAACAGGGGGCAGGGTACCCCAAGAGCTTCTCCTCAAGGGGAGGGACAGGGGGAGGGCAGCTACTTCTGTAAAGAAGTCAAATGCAGCCCAGCAGAGCTGAGCGCACACTGGGGTTCAGAGGCGGAGTGCGCTGGGGTACTTTGGGGTGTGGTGTGTCTTCCTGGACTGCGGACGGGCCCTGAGTGTGTGTGTAGGGTTGGGGCAAGCAGCAGGGACCCTTGCAAGCTCCCTTGGCTGAGGCAGAGGGCACTGGGAACATGGTGCAACACTGTCCCAGAGGCCAGGTCCGGGTGTCCCTTCCCCCTGTCACCTGAGGGGCCCAGCTCCTCCTCACTTCCTCTTACAGCCCAAAGAGCTGTCTGGCACACCCAGGCCCCTCGCGCGTCCTCCTGGGCAGGCCCGGACCTGCTGATGTGCCTGTGCGTGGGCCCAGCCTGGGAGCTGGCGCACCCTTGACTGCCCCAGCCTCTTCAGGTGCTTCCGGGCCTGGAGTGTGGGGGGGCGGGCAGCCCCTGCTTTCTCTGCCTCAGCAGTGGATGGCACGGCCAGCAGGCTGGGAGACGACCCAGCTCGGCTGTGCTTGCTGGTTTCCAGCCCCCAGGGCTGCCCTTGACCCCTGCGCCCCTCCACCAAGGCAGGATGGGAAGGCAGTGTGGACTCCAGTTCGGACTCTGACACCCAGGGCTGAGGCCCTGAGCCCAACTGTCTGGGTGTCAAAAGGGCGGGACTCCTTGGTCTCTGCTCAGCCACCTCTGAGCGAGCTCCAGGGTACGCTGCCAACAGCACCTCATGCAGGACGCCGACCAGCCCCATCCCAGGGTATCTTAAAACCGGGGAGCGGAGGCATCTGCCATAGCTCACTGGAGCCCACCGTCAGGGTGACCAGAGCAGAACAGGGCATGTGATCGAGAAAACCACAGACCCAGGATGGTGTCATTGGTGCTAAAGTCCGTGACACCAAACCCAGATTTAATACGTGATTGAACTGCAGCTTCAGCCTCTCCCAGAAACAGTCTTAATCATCCAGTCTGGAATTTTCTGGTCAAGCACCATTAAGGTCGTCTGTCCTGCGGGCCTCTCCGCTCCCCCTCCCCGTAGAAAGAAGAGGCAAACCCTCCCGTTCTCTTCCTCCAACGATGTTCCTTCCTCCCCCACCCCCTAAATCCTCTTTTTTCCCTTTCGTCATAGCTCCCTTGCCTCACCTTCTTCCTTTAACTATCTTCCATCTGGGTCCGGCCGGTGTGGCTCAGTGGCTGAGCGTCGACCCTGCACCCAGAGGACGCCGGCTCGATTCCCGGGCAGGGCACACGCCCAGGCTGTGGGCCCGATCCCCAGTGGGGAGGCAGCCAATTGATGTTCTCTCTCATCAATGATAGCTCTCTCTCCTTCTCCCTCTCTCTCTAAAATCAATAAAGAAAAAATATATTTAAAAAATCTTTCATCCCTCAGAGCACCTTTCTAATTGCTAAAGGAGATGCTGCCCAGTTCATGAATCACTTAACAAAACCAGTGAGATCTTGGCTGAGTCTCACTCCTTAGCTGTGTGCCCTTGGGCAAGTTGTCTAACCTCTCTGTTCCTCAGTGCATTCTCGGCGACGCTGCATCAGACCAAGGATTTGTTCCCAGGAGTGAGGGAGTAAAGCACTCCGAACTGTCCAGCATCTGGGAGGGGCTCGGCACGTTCATTTCCACTGTGCTCTCCCAAGGCGGAGGCTCAGTCCCACACATCTGGGCTGCTGTGTGTGCTAAGGCTACGGACGGACGCCTTGGTGCAGGAAGGTGGGAGCTGGACGCTGGGTGGGGCTCGCTGGAGGAGCCCAGGGGTCCTGTCCTTCTCTGTGGGAAGGAGGATGGAAGACCCCTGGCTGTGGGTTTAGACTTCACATCTTTGAAAGTTACCATCTCCTCCAGAGAGGTGTGCCAGCTGACCCTTTCTCCGAAAGACTGTGGCCAAAAGCACATGGCAGGATGGCCCAGGGGCCCACAGTCACCTTCTGCTGTCAGGGGCCATCCCCAGAGGCTGCAGCTCCTACCTGAGGCATTGGGTCTCATGTGCCTGAGGACATCCCGTCCTGGGAGCCCAAAGCTGGCCACCCCTCCGGTTAGAAGGCAATGATGGATAGGCTGGGGTGAGAGGGGTCCCCTAAAGGCAGTGCCTGCTCTCAGCAGGCTCCAGAAATGCCCGCTTGTCCCTAGGGCCCCGGTCCCAGCCCGACAGGCTGGCCCGGCTGTTTCTGGGAGGCCCGGGGGCGTCGTGGTGCCTGAGGGGCGCGCAGAGAAAGCAGGGGAGCAGGGCCGGGTTAGGACTTGAGTTTTATCTGAAATCATTGAGAAGAAAGATCCACAGCAGCACCTGTGGTCAGAGGCCCGAGGCCGGGAGGGGACGGGGCAGCACGCTGCAGCGGGGTGGCCATGGGAAGCACGGGCCTGGCCGCCCGGAGGGCACGTCGGGCCAGCAGGGGACGGTTCCGAGGCAGGTGGCGGCTCCTCCGGGCCTCCGCAGCTGACCTGCAGTCCACTAGTCTCCCCAGCTCTTGGCCTACGAGAGAGAGACCTTCACACACAGCTCCGGGCCCACCCCTCCGTGGCCACCCTGAGGGGGCAGGGACAGGCATCATCTACACCCTCCACCCTGAGGGGTCCGTGGTGAAGGGAGTTCAGGCTCCGGGGCAGCATCAGGTCAGGCGTCTCCCCTGAGGGCTCTGGTATCCCCGAGGGGAAGCAGGGAGTCTGAGGGCTGGGGGTCCCTGAAACCTCCTCTGGCGGGAGGCAGGGCCCAGGGCCCAGGTATAGCTGGGGAGCCCAGCTCCTACCTCCTCAGCCACTTCCTCTTCCTCCTGGGCCGCCTCGCCCTCCTTGGGGGGAGCTGGCTGCTTCAGTTCCTCCTGTGGGGAGCAGAGGGACCATGCGGAGGGCGCAGAGCCCCAGCTGCCCGCGGCCATGGCCTCCCCCACCCCAGCCTCAGCGGTGAGCAGAGGTGTTCATCACCTGCTGTGCATCATGGGCCAGGGGAGGAGGGCAGGAGGGCAGGGGAGGGCCTGCGGTGAGGCTGTCTGATGGTGCCAGGGCCTCTGGGTACCAAATACCTTGGAGCCCGGCTTTACCCCCGCAAGCTGATGCGGAGTCCCTGTGCGGCCCATGGCCACGCTGAGGAATCCTGGTGGGTGGGGCAGGTGGGGGAGGGCAGTGGCCCCTGAAGCCTAGGCCCCACCCCACCCTCAGTGTCTCTGAATCACGTTCACATACCCTTGTTCTCCAGAGTCCCCAAAAAGCACCGAGAGAAGGGACAAATTATCACTGTTCACATGGGTACCAGGGAGCCAGGGATGCAGCTGAGGCCTGAGAGCTCAAAGCAGTGGGGCTCACAGGGGTCAGGTCCGGCTTGCTCCAGGCCCTCCCCATCCCCAGTAGCATGAGGGCCTCCCTCCCTCCTTCTCCCTCCCTCCTGGACAGGCCAGCTCCAGGCTCAGGCTGGCCTGGCTGGGGCCCGCAGGGGTACAGAGCCCTCTCACTTCCTGTCTCTACCCCTACACGCAGCTGGACACTTGCCTGAGAGGGGGGCCTGCCTGGGGGTGGTTGTGTGACAGCCGGTGGCCAGGGCCAGACTGGGTGAGCTGCACCTTACCTCTGAGGGTCCATCACCTCCGTGCTACCACAGGCCCATCCTGCCCCTTAGTGGACTGAAGCATAAAGGGACACCAGACTGTCCGCTAGAGCCAGGCAGGCCCTCCAGGTGAGGGTGGGTGGCCACCTGTTCGGTCCTGTTCCCCGAAGCAGGTCAGATAGGCAGTGAGTCGTGACTGGCCCGGGGCGGCCACCTCTCCACCAGGGCCCAGTGGCTCCAGGCGGTCATCAGCCCTCCTCCAAGTCAGAAAGGAGTGCCCAGCAGCCAGGCCCCGCCCAGGGCTCTTTTGTTGGGAGTAGGGGAGGGAGAGTCCTGACTTGTCCTGCCCAGGGGCACTGATGAGGATGATGGTATCATCACCTCGCTTTGGGGGCTCACCACGAGCCGGTCCTAATGGCTCGGTGGGGGCCATCTCCCAGCGCCACACAGCCCAGGGGCTGCACTCTCCCCCTCCCACTACAGGGATGAGCAGAGGGTGCCCGGCCAGTGTGGCTCATTTGGTGGGAGCATCCTCCCATACACCAAAGGGTTGCAGTTCTGTTCCTGGTCAGGGCACATTCCTAGGCTGCGGGTTCGAACCTTGGTCGGGGCACATATGGGATGCAACTGATTGATGTTTTTCTCACACATCCATGTTTCTCTGCCTCCCTCCCTTCCTCTCTCTAAAAGTCAATGGGAAAATGTCCTCTGGTGAGGGCAGACAGCAGAAGATGGGGAAATGCAGGTCCAGAGAGGTTGAGGAGCCTCCCAAGGTCACCGAGCTAGGGAGGGGCAGAGCTGGGAGCTGAGAGGGAGCAGCTGCCTCTCCAAGGACAGGGGACCCTGTGTGGCCCTGGAAGCAGACACCCAGGCGCCACCCCAGAGCCAGGGGCAGGGCTACACCCTCCTCTCGTGCCGGGTGCCCTGGGCCACCTGCACCAGGTAGGGGGGCTTTCCAGAGGATAGCTTCGGACTGAGCTGGAGACAGCCCTCTGGGATGCAACACCTCCTGCCCTGTGGGCCTGCTCCCACCGCCACCTGCACTCTCCCAGTGACTGCCTTCGGAGCACAGGCTTGGGGCTGCGGGCTCACAGACTAGTCATGGCGCGTGGGCACAGTCCTGAATCTCTCTGGGCCTCATTTCTGCACCACGTCTCCTGGGTTTTGTGCCGATTCAATGAGTTAATAAGCTTAGGATGCTTCAAGCCAGCCTGCTCTGCGATGTGTCACCTGCCTGCCCCCACCTCCTGGGAGTGCCCCACACTCCTGTCCTCTCTGCTGCCAGGCAGCACACACACCCCCGTGCACACACACACACCCATGCACACACACACCCCCGTGCACACACACACACCCATGCACACACACACCCCCGTGCACACACACACACCCGTGCACACACACACACCCGTGCACACACACACCCGTGCACACACACACATTCCTACACTCCAGCTCACTTGCAGACAAAGGAGGAGGGCGGGGTCAGGACCTGTCTCCTGCCACCAGGGGGTGCTGCTGCCCAGATCCTCCAGGGAGGAGGTGGGGCCCACGGGGTGGAGGGGACAGCCTGTCACTAGGCTGTGGGTGACTCCCTGGTGTCCACTGCCTGGAGGCTGCCGGCCACCATGTGGGGTCCACAGTCGAATGTGGTATATCCTAAATGCTAAGCACCAATAAGAGGGTGTGGTTCTGGGACTCACTTTCTGATGGGGCCTCAGACTGGCTGATGGGGCTCACAGGGGTGGCTGTGGGAAGAGCCAGCAGGACCACCACGGCCCGAGCCTGTCTCCCTGATGTCGGCGGGCGACGACACCTCCTCCCCAGCGGGCCTCTCTGGGGCCGGAGGACAGGGTGGGACTGTTCTGAGAACCGTGCTGGGGACCAGGTCTCACCTTGCGCACTACTCCGGCGGTGACCACGATGTTCTCTGCCTCCTCCACGGTCTTGGTGGCCACAGTGTTGACGCTGCTGACCACCGCCTCACTCACAGCATTGGCCTGCTCCTTGGTCTTCTCAGCCACTGCGGGAGGACTCTGGCTGGCCTCGGCCCTGACCCCCCGGCCTGGCCCGCCCCGGGCCACAGCCCCTTGCCCGGGGCACTACCGGAGGGCCCAGGCTGCCCTTCCTGGTGCCAGGGGAGCTGGGACGGCTGTGAGGCCCACCCTGCGTCTGGCTGCGTCGGGTCCGTGCACAGCTCGGGACCCCAGTGGGGAGGTAACAAGGACCCCAAGCTTGGGCCTGTAGTGCTGGGGTACAGAAGTCCCTGGAGGTCCCAGCCCCTACCTGCATCCCCTGGTCCTGGGGCGCCTCACCTGAAGTCACGCTCTGCACAACACCCTCCTTGGTCTTGGCTCCTGGGGAGGAAATGGGGGGTCAGCCCAGACCCCTCCTCCTGGTGCTGAGAGTGGAGACGTCAGAGCACAGAACAGCTGGGTCAGTGGTGGGCGAGGACGGCTCTGGAGACCGGCAGCCCCTTCAGAGGGGCCAGGACGGGCCAGGACGGTGGGGTGAGAGAGACCAGCTCAGAGGTGGGGTCTGGCCCTCCTGGGTGTGGCGGGGCCTAGAAGCTGCAGCAGGACAGGCTGCTGACAAGAGCTGAGTCATCAGAGAGGGGCTGGGGCTGGGGCTGGGGCTGGGGCTGGGCACGAGGCTGGGCAGGAGGCTGGGGGTCCTCTCCCCGTCCCCCGTCCCACCCCTTCCCTCTGAGTAGGGCGGAGACCTGTGCCCTGGCTGAATGCCGGCAGCTCAGGCTGCAGGGTCTCCGGGCTGTGTCTCGTCTGAGTCAAGAGGCCCGTGGCTGGTGCGGGAGCAGGGGTCTGTGCATTTGTGCGGGTGCAAACAGGTGTGTCTCAGAGCTGGGTACCCCTCTTGCTGTCCTGCCCCTGAGACTCCTGGGGTCCTGAGGAAGTCCAGGTGGACACTGGCATGTGCAGGAGGATGGGGTGCTTCAGGGCCCGAAGACCCTGACTCAACAGCCCAAAATGCCACCCTGGAGCTGGCCCATGAAGTCAGACGCAAAGTGACAGCATCCCAGGCTCCGGAGCGAGCTGCCCCGCCCTGCCCGCCCGAACTCACCCACATACATGACCCCCTCCTTGGTCTTCTCCGCCGCCTCCGTCACCCCCTGCTTGGTCTTCTCCACAGCACCCACCACACCCTCCTTGGCGATGGAGAAGCCCTTCTTGAAGACGTCCATGGTGCTGGCAGGAACGGGAGCCGGGCTCTCGCAAGCTGTGGCTGGCGCTGCCGAGGACTGCCGCAGCCGCTGTCCCGCTGCTGCCTCTTATTGACGCCCGCCGCCCGATGAAATATTGATGATGCGGCGGCGGCCTGTGGAAGCCCAGCCAGTGTGGGGGTGGGGACAGGAGGCAGGGAGGGAGCGAGGGAGCGAGGGAGACAGGCAGGACAGAGGCTGGTAGCAGGGCCCTGCTGCCCCCCCTTCTTGCCCTCTGCCTCCCTCCGAGGGGCTGCAGAGGTTGGACACACCGCTGTCCATCACTGCCTCATTCACGCGAGGCCCTGCCCGCCCACAGGGGCCCTGGCGGATGCTCTCAGGCCTGGGGCTTTGTGTCTGTGACATCTGAGCACGAGGGAGGGAACCTTTGCTACCCGCATCCAGGCGGGGGAGGTGGGCCGCACAAGCTTGTCAGGCAAGAGTGGCCCACCTCCCGCCCAGCCTGGGCTGCCCACCCCTCACTGTGGAGCCTGTGCCAGGGCTGCAGCAAGGTGAGTGGAGGGGCTGGACGGGACCCCACGCCTTGGTCCCCACAACGCACCGTGTGGCCCTCAGACAGGCCCTTCTCTCTCTGAGCCCCTCCCCCTGCTGGCTCCCACAGCCCCAGGGTGGCAGGCGGCAGGTGGGAAGGGCCCCCACTTCCTGGCCAGTTCCCTGAGACCCTCCAGCCCCACTGCCGCCCTGTGCCCTCTCCTGACTCAACACCGTGAGGCCACCTCCTGGGCCTCCCAACCCTCCAGGGTCCCTGACCCAAGTGCAGCAGGACGCAGGAAGCAGCTGGGTTGTTGACTGCCTCTGTGGGGGTGGGGAGGGGGCAGAAGCACCGGCGGGCTGGCCTAGTCCACTTCCTCTCTTTGTTGAACCAGCTTCTTTTCCTTCTGAGAGTTCACTGGAAGCAGCTTCTGGAATCGGCCAAGATGAGCCTGACCCTGCTGCTCAGCCTTGGGGGAGCCCTGGGCTGGGGGCTGCTGGGGACCTGGGCCCAGGCCCCTGGTTCCAGGTTCCCTGACCCACAGAGCCCCAGGCTGCCGGGGGTCTGGAGGGCAGAGGCTGAGGACATCGGCAGGGACCCCGTCAGACGGTAAGGAGGAGCCTGGCCTTCGGGAGGTCTTGGGGCAGGTCTGAGTCCCAGCTCAGCCAGAACAGGGGCTGTCTGGACCTCAGTTACTCATCTGTGAAATGGGTTAATGATATCTATAAGGCTCCGTGAGGTGCTAGGTGCCAGGATCCCCTTCAAGAGGCCACCCCAGCCAGCCTGGACCGGGCACCACGTAAAGTTCTGTCTGACCTGTGGCAGGGAATGGGCCTGGGGGTTGGGCAAGGCTGGAGCACCCCTTGCCACCCACTGTCCAGCGCGGGGTGCTAAGGGGCTGCGATTCCAGAATTTTCCAGCTGGTCGGGCAGTGGCCCTGTTCTTGAGGTCAGTCTGAGGTGAAGCCCTGAGCCACCAGGGACAGGAGCTCACGGGCTGGGTTGGGCCTGAGGGCGAGGTGGGGCTCTCGCCGGGCTCTGCCAGGGAGGGCAGACAGGAGCGGTGCCCGGAGCTCTGCTTCGTGCCCGCCCGTCTTGCCAAGGCACCCGGACGCTACTTTCCAGCATCCTACTTTCCAGGGTCGGGGTCCTCCTTCTGGGGACCCCACGTCCACCGCAAGTGCTACTTCTTAGCCAGGCACCTTGCCAAGTGTTACTCCAGTTAACCCTTTCAGCAGCCCACTCACAGGGAGGACCCTGAGGCTCAGAGAGGCTGGGCAGCTGGCCCAAGGTCACACAGTAAGGAGAGCCTGGACCAGGACCTGAGTCTGACTCTGGAGTTCATGGTCCCTGGAGCACTCCAAGGCAGCCCCGCCCCGGCCCCCATGTGCCAACGCCCAGCTCACTGCCCCCTCATTGACTGAGGGCATCTGTATGGACGTGGAGGGTGAGAAGGGCTAACTCCACCTGCCCAGCCTCCCGTCTGGCTGTCTGGTTCACCTAGGCAGAGTGGGTCTGCCGGGGACAGCCCTACCAGCCCTGACTCAAGGTAATGTGTTTACTGGGCCGTTCTCCACAGCAGACTGGATGAGGAAGAGGCAGAGGGAGAGTGAGCACCGGCCCTCGGTGAGGGGAGGGCTGGCCCCATGGGGCGGAGTGGCCCCAAGATGACTAGAGAGGCCCCATTCTGGTTCTGTCCCCCCTCCCCCCCGCCCCGTTCTGCTCAGGTCTGGGAGGCACAGGGCACTCGGTGGGGAGCTCAGCCACGGGGCTCTGATTTCAGGACCTGGCACCACACCTGCCTCCCCAAAGCCATTAGCTCCACACCCCTGTCTCTGGGCCTTCCTCTCCCTTACTGAAGGGGGGAGGGGGAGGCAAGTGGATGGGAAGGAAGTAGAAGCAGCTCCTCCTTCTCCCCAAGCTCTCAGCGGTGGGAGGGTCTGGGCTCCCTTAGCCCAGGGAGGGTGGGGCCCTGGACTGCTCAGGTCTGTCCTGGGGGCTCTTCCAGCCATTGTCTGGGTGGCCCTGATGCGTGCAGAGATGTGTGATTGGGCACAGGTCCCTGGGCCCAGGCAGGGTTCAGCCCTCGACCCAAGGGCTCCTGGGGCTCCCAGCAGGCCTGCTGGGTCTGCTTCCCACAGCCCAGCAGCTTTGCTCCACCGCCAGGCCCAGGTTGTCAAGGCCTCTGGAGGGGCCGGTGGGAAAGGAAGGAAGGACTGCACAGCTTCCTCCTCCATCACTTCCCCTGCCTGGGAAGGGCGGCTGGGGAGGGAGACAGGGTCCTGCTGGGGAGGGAGACAGGGTCCTGCTGGGGAGGGAGGCAGGGCCCTGCTGGGGAGGGAGACAGGGCGCAGCTGGGGAGGGAGACAGGGCGCAGCTGGGGAGGGAGACAGGGCGCAGCTGGGGAGGGAGGCAGGGCCCTGCTGGGGAGGGAGACAGGGCGCAGCTGGGGAGGGAGACAGGGCACAGCTGGGGAGGGAGACAGGGTCCTGCTGGGGAGGGAGACAGGGTCCTGCTGGGGAGGGAGACAGGGCGCAGCTGGGGAGGGAGACAGGGCCCTGCTGGGGAGGGAGACAGGGCGCAGCTGGGGAGGGAGACAGGGCGCGGCTGGGGAGGGAGACAGGGCGCAGCTGGGGAGGGAGACAGGGCGCGGCTAGGGAGGGAGACGGCGCAGCTGGGGAGGGAGACAGGGCGCAGCTGGGAAGGGAAACAGGGCGCAGCTGGGGAGGGAGACAGGGCCCTGCTGGGCCTCCTGCGGGAGGGAAGGGTCCGCAGGGCTCTGTGCCCAGGCAGTGGGCATACCCCTCAGGCAATGGGCACATGACCAGGCAGTGGGCACACCGCTCAGGCAATGGGCACACCACCCCGGCTGCCAGAGCCTCCTGCCCTGCTTTGCGCTTGCGAGTTCCTGAGGCCCTGGGCCAGGCAGGCCTGGTCACAGACCCAGATAAGACCCTTTGCAAGGCGAAGGTTGGACATGTCCAGTAAGTAATCTCCAAACTTGTAGAGAATTTTTATGAGTTTGAGTCAAACTGACGCCAGCAGCAGGAAGCAAAGCCTGGAAGGTCTGAGCACACCCCAGGGAGGGCCGTTTGCAGCTTGTTTGAGCCACTGGACTCACCGCAGAAGACCTGAGGCGGATGCGTGGAATCTCCGCTGCAGACTGGGGTGGGAGAAGGCAAGGGGGCCTCCGGGGGGACCGGGACAGACACACATGGTCTTTACATCCGTGGGTGCAGGGTCATTAATCATTAACACAGCACGCAGAGGGGAACTGGGGGAACGAGGTAGCCATGAGGGCTTCTGTGGTCTCCTGCTCTGGTGTGGGGCCGTGCCCGAGGGGTTGGGAAGGAGATAGGGCTGACACCCCGAAGGTGTGTTTCTCAGGTGCAGAAAGACAGACAGGGCCCTCAGGTGAACACTGGCCTCTTCCCAGGAAGCCAGAGGCCTGGGACGTGAGTGACCGCAGGACCTGCTCTCAGCCAGGACGTGGCATGTCCGACCATTCTGCGGGGTTCCTTTCCATCTGACTGTGGGGTCCGCCATGCTGGTCACCCGGAGCTCATCAGGTTCCCTATGCAGCCCCGTTTCTGTCCTCAGACAGAACAGCTTGGTGCCCAGTGCCAGGTCCTGGGGTGGGGTCCTGGGGTGAGTTTTGCTAGGTCCCCGCGGCCCCCAGGAGTGGGGCCCCGTGAGCCAGCAGCGTGCGCCCTAGACTCGGTGTGGGAAGGGGCTTCTGTGCTCCCTGGCTGGGGCGGGGGTGGGGGGAGCAGCCGTCCAGGATGTGAGCTCAGAGGGGACTCTGGGCCCAGGCAGGCGCCCCATGTCTGCCTTGTGGCAGCACTGCACACCCCTATTTTCTTCACCTGTTGTGGGGCTGGGGTGGGGGACCGCCCTGCTCCTAGAGATAGATCAGAGCTGGGGCCCACACCCGCTGCGCTGCGCATCCAGGTGACCTCCGTCCCCTCTCCCTGCTGACCCCTGCTCAAGGAGCACCGTGACCTCTGCAGCCGGGCCCAGAGGGGTCATGCTCTGCCTGGGGTCACCCAAGATCTGGAGGGAGCCCAGGCCTGCACCGGCTCCTCCTGCTGCCTGGGGCCTGGGGCCTGGGGACCAAGAGGGAGGAGCCCGTGGCTCTGGGCTGGTGCCCGTGCTCGGCCCCCCTGCCAAGGCCAGTTTCTAAGCCAGAGACAAAGCTGCAAGTTCACACCTGGAGGGGTCACAGTCCCGCTGCACTCAGGACACGCCCTTCTCCCCAGGAAGCCGCTGGGGTGCTGAGGCGCTGGACAGGCTGGTTAGGAAGAGGCACTTAGTGCCCAGGGAGGTGGGGCCCGGGGAGCTGCCAGCCCTTCCCGAGAGGCACGGCCTTTCCCACAGCCTGCGCTCTGCCCCCAGGGCCAGAAGCTCCCATTTCTCCGCCTTTCCAGAAGGAGTCCTGCGTGGGCCACGCTCAAGTGCCACCTGAGCACAGGGAGCGGAGGGGGCCCAGGCCACCCTCCTCCCACTAGGAACTCAGGGGTCAGCCACCTCTCCTGCCTGGGGCCGCGTCAGGTCAGGGACACGTGGGAGGCCCAGGCCCGGCTGGAGGCTCCCACGCTCATTTCTAGCTGGCGCCTGCCTCTGCGTGGGCCCCTGGGCACACAGGGTACACAGAGGGCACGGCCTGGGACCACAGGCAGCGGGAACAATGGGGCACCTCAGCGAGCTGGGCTGGGGAGGGGGCGGCGCGGAGAGCCAGCCAGAAACTGCCAAGAGCTGGAGGAAACCGAAGCAAAGGTCAGGAATGTTCCCAGGGCCTCTGGGCCAGCAGCCTCGCTGTGCCAAGGGAACGGGCTGCCAAGGGTGGGGAGCGTGGCAGGGAGAATAGGGCTGCGGGGCCCGCTGGGGCAGGGCAGGAAGGGTGGGCGCCACCGCGGCGGAAAGTCCCACTGCCCCCTGGCAGGCCGGACCAGACCCAGCACAGCCAGGACCCGGGGCCCTGCACCCACCGAACGGTTCCGATAGTGGGCAAGGAGTGAACTCTGTTCTCAGAGCGTGTTTCTCAACCTTGGATCTGTTGACACTTGGGCCTCACTGGTTCTGTTGCTGTGGCGCAGGGCGGTGCCGTGCAGGGCGGTGCCACACAGGGCGGTGCCACACGGGCCTCAGCAGCATCCTCAGCCTCTGCCCACTAGATGCCATTAGCACCCTCCCCCTCCCGGTTGTGAAACCACAAATGTTTGTCAAATACACCTCAGGGGAAGTCCCCTCTCCCCCTTTGAAAACCACTGGTTCAGAGAAATAGTTCCTCTCGGGCTGAGCCCATGTTCCAGGAATTTCCGTGGGGCCCAGGGTGGGGACCGAGCCTCTGGTCCTTGGAACAGGCTGTGGCGGCTGAGCAGAGCTCTGGGCCAGCACTTCCCGGTCCACTGGTTCCGTGTCAGGTGGACGTGTGGCCTGAGCAGCGTACATGGCAGTGGCCACTCCCAAGAGCCCCGCTTGGTCTCCTCTCTGTGGTGACCTGCGTTGTCACTGAGCCTAAAGGACGTGTCATCCGTCTGGCCCTTCACAGGACAGCCGACCCTTTGGGGTAGAGTCAAACCACCTACAAGCTTGCTGAGACCATCGGAA